AGTTTTTCATCTTTACTGTAAAAGATGGGGGTGGGGGGCTTAGCCCCGTTAGCCCATATATACCAGCCATCCCTGTCTATATGTTTGTTTAAGGTCCAGTGTGTATCCAGTCACACCTGAGATTAGTTGCATTTATTTTAAATGAATGAAAACTGTAGTTTGTTAGCTCATGCTTGACACAATAAACAGCTTCTACATTGAACTATTTTTCTTGGAAACTAGTGAGAACTCTTTTGGTTTGATAGCAAAATTGATCTGCCCACAGGTGACCAAGAGGGTGTTGACATTTCCTGGCAGCTTTGTTGTGTTTCTATCATTAGACTAATGACGGACAGAGAAAAGTATTAGTCAATTAAGTTGCCCAGCCCTCTTCCATTACAGGGCCGTGGTATTGCTGCAACAAAAATTTAAAGAGGGCACGGAGAGGGCAGAGTGTGCAGTCACAGTCATGTTGCTTGCAGGTTTCCTCTTTCTCCTCCTACTCACAAGTAAACTGGGATTCAATTCTCTATGATGCACAAAAATTTGAAGTTTAGACTATAAGTTATATCTAGCAATGCAGATAATTTTGTTTCAGCATGAAAAAAATTTATTGAAATAATAATGATAATACCAGCATATATATAAAGTAAACAACTAGTAACTTTAGTTTACTGAATAAATTATTCTTTTTCATTTTTCTTAAAAATCTTTTTCCAGTTACACATGTTTGGTCGTACCCATATCTACACTCATATATTGACTACAAAAGCCTTGTTAACTCTTTTTCTGTCAGGTGGAAGTACTTCCAATTATACAGAGCTTCCTCATGATCAACACAAGTCCAACCAGACCTGTAAGTGTATGAAACAAATACTGTGCATGAGTGTATATGGATACTTATTCCTGCAGCCTTAATTATGGAATTTTTGACACCGAAGACCCTTGTTTACTTTTAACTGGGTGTTTCTGAGGCAGTTTTTGTGTGTAGTAATACATTTATGTTATTCGTATAAACAGTAAACAAAAGTATTTATGGTCTGTTGTGAATCCATGAGGACTGACTTTAAGGTTCCTGACTTTAATTATTACCCTTTTCCGACCTTGGGTTTAGTTGAATAGAATTTTTTTTTGATGTATCTCAAATTGCCTCATGTACATTTAAAAGACTGTGAAAATGCTCACATTTAAAAATCATTATTGGACTGATGAGATAAAACCCAGCAGTCCTGCCAGTGCACATCTCATAATGGCCTTTCAGTGACCACAATCCCTTGATATTACTGCAGATATTTGTTGGTGTTTTTCAAGGTTTGACAAATCGATTCAGAGGAAGTATCCACTTACTGTACCCACAGAGACACATGTTTTTGTTTGTTTCATATTATACATTATTTAGGGCGCACCCAGTAAATGTCCAGACAAACATAAGAGCTCAAAAAATCACTATATTGGTGAATGTTTCCCTTCTAATATCGGTATCAGTCTCACAAATCCCATATCAGTCGGTCTCTAATTTAAAGCATCGCAATCTGTAAATTTCAGTATTTCTTTCTGTTGAAGATAATCAATGTTTTGAGATCTCTCTCATAGTGAATGTGTTTTGATGTTTTTAGCTGTGGCTGGGGAGTCCAAGTCTGAGAAAGTGTGCAGTTATCAAGACGTTTTAAACTACCTGAACTTGACTAAAAACAATGAGCTGTTCTCCATGACTCGGCCTGTTAAAGACTACAAACAGCCCACAAATGTATCCGTGGATGTGGTTCTGCGTGAAATTCTAAATGTGGTAAGTGGGTAAGCTTTAACATTTGTGTTACTTTTGGTTTTAAGTACCCTTTATGTGTTGCCAAGACATCGTAAACGAAATTTTGGGGGGAAATTGAGAACTAACAAGTGAACTAGTTCCAGTGGTTAGCGCTGCAATATTCATTTAGTCATTTATTAAGCTCACAGCAATACTGTATTAGATAGATATGCATGTGATATACTGCAGAGTGGTGTAGAGCATTAACCACTGTGCAAACCGACTTTTAATCCATGCTGTTGGTCTTTTAATGTCTGTGTTTAATTCAACGCTTTGTGTGCACAGATTTACACATCATGATTATGGTGAAAATGTATTGTGCAGCCTTGGTAACGTTATGTATATCTGTTTTAGATTTGACATTAGCTGAAGTACTGTTTGTACATTTATATGAAAGTTATTAAAAATGTGTTTCAGTAATTTGAAGTTTTAATGAACCTTTTCTGTGTGATGGGTCAGCTTTGTTGAGCATTATAACAAGTCAAAATGTGTGATGTGAAAAAGATCTGTTTGTTAGTTGCATGAAGATGTTGGTATTGTGAATAACAGAATCACGCAATATCACCTGTGGATGTGTCAGCGCTTGCAAGCTATAAAGTAGCCTTCTCATTAGCAGACATTGTGTAAATAAGCAACCGTAACGATTTACATTACATACAGAACATTTTTGTTTATGTCTGTGATCCTGGTGGCCAGGGACATAGAAAAGAGGGATGCCAGAGAGTACAATTAAAATCTTCTCCACAGACATTCATCCACTGCAGGTAGTCACTAAACCTACTGGCCCCGGACAGTGTTGCTTTGTCAGTCTTGAAGCAAAACAGTGTGTGGCGGCCAGGTGAATTTTGCCTTGAATGTTACCTCATTTGCATAAGTTGAAATTTTTCAACTCCTGCCTGTTTTCATATCGCTGGTCACCTGGAAACTCCAGACAAACATGTCATTTCTAATTGTTGTATATAAGCATGAAAATGTGCGTATGGTACATTCCTGTTCATAAGTGCGCTTGTTAAGTTGCTCTTTAAGCACTCATTTTAGGTTCATGCAATTTAATTAAGTATCTCCAATTTGTAAGAATTTTGTATTTTCCTTATTTACATTTCAAGAGGAAATTTTACACTTTTAGTTAGTATTCAATGAGGTTTTTTTCCATTTTTACCAGAGATACATGGTTATCACCCAAAAATGACTGATGTAGATTACGTTGTTGCTGCAAGTTGTGTATTTTATGGCTGCTGTACTTTAGCCTTTCTCAGATGTGCAGGAGTATGAAGATCAACCATTTAAAAAACAAAAATCATTTCACGGGCGCCCGGTTAGCTCAGTGGGTAGAGCTGGCGATCCCCACTGTACCAGCACCAGGCCTGATCCTTTGCTGCTAGCGTTCCCAGGTTCGAATTCCGACCTGCGGCCCTTGAACTGCGTGTCATCCCCTCTCTCTCTGTCCCCTTTCCTGTCTTCTTCAACTGTAAAGCCCCAAAAAATACCTTTAAAAAATAAAACATCATTTCACAGATCAGCATGAAGAGGCGGTCTGCCCTCTACATTATCAACTTCTTGCTACCCATCCTGCTCTTCTTGAGTCTGGACTTGGCCTCCTTCCTGATTCCAGACAGCAGGGACGAGAAGCTCAGCTTCAAGGTCACAATGCTGCTCGCTGTCACCGTGATGCAGCTTGTTCTGAATGAAATTCTGCCTTCCTCTTCAGAGAGGATTCCACAGTTAACGGCTCTACAGCTGTTGTAGCCACTCTGTGAGGCTGTACTGAGCCTGCAGAGTGGTGCTCTGAATTAAATGCTAACATCAGCATGCTCACAGTTACAATGCTAACCACTCATGTTAAGAAGGTTTAATGCTTATTTCACACATCGTTTGCTAATTGGACCGCACTAAACATTAAGTACACACTGAGGCGAGACAATGCGTAATCGTCTGACGCTGCCCTTCCCCCTTTAGTTGTCCTCTGTATCGGGATCTTTTCCTCTGATGATCTGGAGACGATTTTGGTGATGCATCTGATTGAGAAAGACTCCCAAGACAGCAAGACAGACCAAAGCCAGAGTGACGGTAACAAACAAGGCAGAGTAAACTATACTGAAGGTGAGATTCGTTATAATATCCATGTATGTGTGGAGATCCCAGAGATATGTGCAGCCACCACAGCCACAACCTGTTTAGCCTGCTGCCATCGGGGTAGAGGTACAGAAGCTGCTGCTGCCGTAACACCAGCTTCTTCTCTCAGGCTGCTAAATTCATCCTCAGCACAACATTATACAAATTAGTAATGACTCTAACTCTCCATCTCTGTGTTGTAAATGACTATAAAATAACCTTGAATAATATAATGTTGAATATACTACCACAATCTTGTGTGTTATATGTTGTTCCAGACAAGAAGAAGTGTACTGCGTGCCTCTGTGACCTGTCTGCTGATGAAACACCAACTGAGCTGCTGAAGGTTGGGAATTGTACTTTAAAGGTCTAGTGTTTCACATTTAGGAGGATCTATTGGCAAGAAATATAATATAATATTAATAATTTTGTTTTCATTAGTGTATAATCACCTGAAAAAAGGAATCGTTATGTTTTTGCTACCTCAGAATGAGCTGTTTTTGTCTACAGACGCTGTGAGTAGCCCAGAATGGACAGACCGAACACTGGCTTTAGATAGGGACGTTTGCATTTTTCACGAGATTTGTGGCCACTGTAGTTACTCCTTTGTGTTTGGAGGGGTAGGTTGAAGTTATGGAGTTGCTATCTGCAAATAGACTGTGTAGGATTTAGTGGCATCTAGCCATTGGTCCTTTTAAAATTAGAGCTCTGTGCATTTGTCAAGGATTTGTATCTTAGAAATTTCACCCCAATACTACAGTGACAGTAGAAGTAATTTCATTTTTTTAACCAACTAGCTCAACACTTTTCAGCTCCTGCGTATAACAAATACAAAAACATTTCAAATCAAAAACACCTGAACTGCATTAATAACACAGGAAGTTTCCAGGATATTTATATATGTCGTAGCTGTCAGTCTGTTTTTAATCTGTATGATTTTACTTTGGAATATTACTCCATAATGACATTGCAACCTACAGTGGGAAACCTTTACCTCTGTGTGTGTATTTGACATTGACACAAACTTACTTGTAGTCTGCAGTCTTGTCCTGTTCCTGCATCATCACAGCTGTTTTATTTCTACACACTGCTACATACTCGGTATTAGCCTGTTATAGAAGTTGTGTTGTGTTATGCCGACTATATACCTTTCAAATGTAATATAAACAATGTTAATATTCAATGAATCCACCGCATGCTTATAATAATGTATTGAATGTATTAATTAAATGTTGTATCATACTCTCTCTCTGACAGTATGATGTGATTAATGTCTGCTGCCCATTAAAAGTATGAGGCTGCACAGGCTGCATGCAAATTTATATAAAGCATGTAAATGTGTGTGTGGTTGTTATGTCACAAATATGATTGAGTGATTTCATGTTGTCTGTGTCGTGATTTGGGGTTTTTCTTTAGTTATGACCTGTTTTATTTTGTGTGTTACTCCTCCTCTTGTGTCTGACTTTACTTCTTGTCTTTGGCGCTGATTATTTCCACCTGTTTCTAGTTAACTTCCCCCTCATCTGTGTTTCATTGGTTTATTAGTTCTCTGTGTATTTGTGTTTTCCTTCAGTTCTTAGTTGAACTGTTTCTCTGTTTTCTTTTTATAACCTTTTGGATTTCTGGATTTGTTATTTTCTTGGTTTACTCTCTTTTGGACTATTTTGTGTTGCCCTGCCTGTTATTGACATTACCTTTTGGTTAATTCTCCGGTCTCGTGTGCATCTGCATCTTTATTTAATGAACTAATAGTCCTCTCATTTGGTTCTGAAAACATGTATCAGTCTCTACAAAGCTTAAGTAAACAATAAAAACAAACCTTTTTTGTCCTCTCTTTTTAGTATTAGTATTAAGAGGTTAATAATGTCCTTTGTTCTCCACCACATTTGTATGCTTAGTTGTATGTTTAGTTACAATTATGTTTCCTCAGCTAAATAAACTGTTTAAAAACCCTCTTGGATTGCTTTCAAATGCATCGTCACAAAGCTGAAAAAAAGCTGTTTTTCTGAGAGCTTTTAGAGATCTGTGGTTCCCAAAGGACAGTGATACTGAACATATGATGATCTTTAAAATATGATGCATGGCTGTAGATTAAACCACCCAACAGTATGCTTAAACATCTACAGCAGTGAAATACAACCCGCATTAATGCAGCAATATTATTATTATTATTATTTAAAAACATATATAACAGTACTGACACAAACCATTTTACTACTACTTAAGGCTTCATATGCAGGACATAAGAGTGGAGTATTTTCAGTGTGGTACTGCAGAAAAATGCTGACCATTAATAATATAAAACTTATTCTTTTTACCTTTATTATTATCATTATTTTATAAAAGGATTATAACTTTAAGCTGTTACTGTTGACTCAGGTTACAGGTACAGTAGTTCTATCAGAGTTTGACTGATTATTGTGACAATAAATATAGTAAAGATCAGTCTTGGACCAATTCTATTTCAGTGTTTATTTCACCCTGAACACAAATGTTTATTTTATGTATTTTATGCCTTTATTGAGGAATCAAACCAGAGACTTTGCAATCACATGTGGTAAGAGCTTAAACCACTACACCACCATTACAACCCAATTTAGTTCTTCACCAAATAATAATGTGTTTTTATTGAGTTAAGTGAGCTCAGAACTCTTTCCACTTACTCCGTTGCAACTACAGAAGTAAACCCTGGGGTACATCTGGTTAGAAATTACTGTGTTAGACTACTCAGATGAAAAAACAACTAAACAATGGGTTGGTCAGTTCAGTTTGCCCAGCCCTCTTCTAGTGTGAGGAGGATAAGTACTTCTAGACAGCACAGAGTTGACATCAATGCACATCTGCTTCACAGACCTCTCATAGACTTTGGATTCTCTCTGGTCCTGCACTCATGATGCTTGCTGGATTCCTCTTTCTGCTGTTCCTCACAGGTAATGTTTCTCTCATACTCACAGCATCTTGTTGCTCTGGATAATACACAGACGTTTACTCTGAACAGATTTTGTTTGAAATAATTTTAAAGTGAAGTCCGTGGCTAATCAACAGCAACGGTTTCTGAAAAGATGTGTTGCTGTTGAACCCACTTCCACTGTTTTGGGAAAGAGGCAGATATCTTACAGACATACAGTATATCTCAAAACCCGAACAAATAAACTAAAAATTATTTGCTATTTACCATAAAGGTTGTGTTGTTTCACTCAATTCCTGTATTTCTATGGCATCATGATTATGTAATTGTTTCCCATATACAGGGGCGGATCTAAAGAAATATTAATGGAGTTGAATGGGGACTTTAGGGGGGCAGAAATATTTGCTGATTTAATTGCAAACAATGAAATATATCAATATTTGTTTGGAAAAGCCCCCAACTTAAGATTTGAACTTTAAAACAGTACATTATTGTGACACATTAGTGAAGTATATATATATATATATATATATATAATGAATAAATTGTTGTATTTAAAACAATTTTCATTGAACTTAAACCATCACTTAGTCTGAAACATGGACATAACAGATTATTAAAATTTTATTTTTTTAAATTAATCTCTATTAATGTGTTAAATTTGACTGCATTTGACTATAACTGGGGTGGTAGCACCTGCCCATATACACTCAACAGTTGAGCCAATATAGACTAATATTGTATTGCTTAAGTGTCCTTAAGCTGTTTCTGTGCTGATGTAAGAACTATTTTTGTTAAGTTCTTAGTCTAGAACCCCAAAGCAGAGACGCAACACACTGGTGAGTGGGAACTGAAGATTCTTT